GCAGCGCGCCGATTTATGGTAACCACGCGAAGGGAATAGAAGCCGTTTCCCCGGCTCGGTGACCGGCTGCCAAACCGTGTGACGTGGGATGAGGGGACCCTGCTCCGGCCACCACGGCCTCTCCCCACCCCTCCTCTGCGCCACGAGCCCTCCTGCCCCCGTGGGGGGGTTCAGCCACGCTGGCCTTGGGTGGCTCCACCAGCTCCGGTAGCCACAGGACAGGGACTGCAGGTCCCAGTACACACCGATGGGTCTGACTGGGAGCACTGGGGCCACACTGCGGGTGGGAGGTGACGGGGTCTGGGCCGTGTGTCTGGGCGGCATCGCTCACTCGCTGTCTGTCCGGGCTGGGTGTTTATTTGCTGTCACCTGCCAGGGAGCCCGCCGTGGCCTGTGGGCTCCCGGCGGCGGTGGCAGCAGCGGGATCCTCCCCCGCCGAGCTTGGTCCCCACGGTTTGGTTCATGGACTGGTCGTTTCTCTCCGTTCTGCACCGGCCGTGGCCACAGAACGGCGCCGGGCAAAGCGGAGAGAGAATTGGGACTGAATCGGGTGTGACGGGCCCAGCCTTGGCTCTTCTCCTTCCCGCCCTCCGGCCGTGGTTGTGCTTGTGGGTCACAGTGAGAGCTGGGGTGTCCCTGAGGGGCCCCCTCACCGCGGGGAGATCCCGCAGAGCTGCCGGCGTCTCCCCATGGACCGAAGCCCCTTCGCGGAGAAGCGACAGGCACCCACGGCACGAGAGAGACCCAGAAATCCTCCGCTAGGGCCAGGAGACAGCCCTGTCCTGCCACATCCCAGCCCCGCATCGTTCCTCCGCTCTCTTTCCTCAGCCGGAGACGATGACAATTCCCAGCGCCGTGTCCGTGTCACCGTGCCAGGGCCGTGCCCGTGCTGCACCCACCGCAGGGCCGGAGTGCTCGGCTGCAGCCAGCTGCATCCCGGGGAAGCGCCCTTCATCCCCTGCCTGGCAGTAGATTAAAATTTCATCACTTCAGCGGTGGAGAAGGTGCAAGGAGGGGAGCAGAACCCCCAGGCTGGCGATGGGGCTCAGCCCCTCGCCGGAGCAGCCCGCACTGAGCTTGGTGCACACTCCAAATCCAGGCACACGTGGCCGGGCTCAGCTGGTGGAGCTGAGATAGGGGCGCAGCCAGGCAGGGGGGGCTGCAGGCCGGGCTCCTGCCTCCCCTGGGCCTTCGCTCGCCGGAGCACGAGGCTGGGCAAGAGGCTCCGCCAGGCCCTGGGCTCCTGTCGGCGTTTCCTCCGTGGGCTGCACACCCGGAGCGGGACCACAAGACCCCGGCTCCAAGCGCAGCCGAAGCGGCCTCAGCTGCGGGCAGAAACGCAAAGCCAAGGTCGTGCCTCCATGCTGCCGGCAGCAGCATTTCCCTGCCTCCGTGCGGGGAGTCCCAAATCCCCCGGCAGCCGCGAGATGGAGGGATTGTCACATAAAACCAGTAACTCCCCGCAGCTGAGCTGCCCGGCCGGGCCTCAGGAAGGTGCTGCCTGGGCTGGTCCCTGTCCTGGGCCGACAACGGGCCACAGCCGGGCCCCGGCACACGGGACGGCCGGTGTTTTGCCCCAGTTGCTCCTGGCAGATGGGAGAGGATGGGTCCTTGTCACCACGCTACCTCCCAGGCTCCCACAAGAGGGTTTTTGATGTGTTCTGGTATTTTTTCCAGAGGCTGAACACAATTAACATCCTAATTCCCTGGTTTTAACTTTCCCCCTTTCCAAAAAAAGGGGAAACGTTTGCTCTTTTCCAGCCCCGTGATGTCTGCCACCCTCAGCACGTTCCTCGGGACATCACCAACAGCACTGAGGTCCCCGTGGGGGGATCAGGTCCCAGCTGTCCCCTCATGCGTGTCCCTTCCCTGTCCCTTCTCCTTTCCCACATTGCCAAGGCTTTTTGGGGTGTCCTGACCCCCCCAGTCCCCTCTGGGCTCCCGTTGCCTCCCTGTGCATTGCAGAGCCTCCTCCACCTCCCCAGCCCGTACCAGCACATCGCTATTCAAGTCACGCGACGCCCATCGCGCGTCCCCGATGTGCCAATTAAGTCACAGCTTTAATTACGCACTTAGGCTCGCCAGTCGCTCGTCTTCCCTCTCGCATCACCAGACGGACACCTGGGAGGCTGCCAGCCACCCCCCTCCTTACACCCAGCCCCTGTTTTCTCCCACTTCATCCCAAATATGCTGGGCCGGGCTCTAGCAGGAGCCGAGCACCCAGACCACGGCCCCATGGACGGAAAACTCCCCAAATCAGCGCTGTGGGGCCATTGTGGGGGTCTCATTTTGGCCCAGGCTGCCTCCCCTGCAGCCCGTGAGGGAAATGGATGTGGTGTGTGGAGCCACCACAGATGTCCCCCAAGAGGGACAGTCCCAGCCCTGGGGTCCCCAAGGGTCGATGGTGGGACAGTGGGATGTTGGCAGATCCAGGGGACCCTCTGCTGT